TTTTGCCTTCATGGTAAATGGATTTGAGCTAGTATAGCGCTTTTCTAGTCCTCTGTACATCGCATGTCACACCTAACCATTCATATCCACTCACACACTGATGGCAGCGGTTGTTATGTAGTATCATCCATCAGAAGTAACTAATCCCATTCATACGCCGCCAACGAAGCAAAGGGAGCAATTTGGGTTTAAGTGTCTTGCCCGAGGACACATCGGACATGTTGCTGCAGGAGCTGGGGACCTTCTGGTTGATAGACGACTCTACCAACTGAGCCACAGCTGCCCCTGACAGGATCTGACAGGACAATGCATAGAGTAGGACATTGGGGGAGAGAGAGTGGGGAATGGCATGTGGGGAAGGAGCCACAGTTTGGATTCAGCCTCCCGTCTGGAGGACCAAAGCTGTTGTACATGCGGGGCCATCTACATCCCAATTCTGCTCTTTCTTCACTCCAGTTCCAATATGGAGCTGTTATAAATGCCCTTGTCCAGTCTTTGCAGAATCATCAGCCATCAAATCATCATCCATTTGATCTCAGAAAAGTCATCACCAGCACCAACACCACCATCAGCGTCAAGACTCCAGTGGGGCATTTTTTCCGCAGCTGCTCCTAACAAATCCATTGATCACAAAACAACAATAATATTTTCTTAATTTGCTTGTCTCTCCTGATTGAAATATGTTAATTCATAACGAGTCTAACCACATTGATTATATATATCCAAATGCCACAAAGTAAAATCCCCTTGACCCATAGATGACTTTAATGCAGTTACAGTTACTCACATCACACTTTATCAATATGTTTTAGCCACTGATGCACACACTTTACAGAAAGCAAGCTCACAAAATGAACAGATATACAAAAGCATAATCAAATCTCAAGTCATCTCAATCTCAATCAAGTCTCTTTCAATGCATTTCATTCTTATCCGGTAATTTCCAATAATCACCCCAAGTGCCCAGAGCCTCTGATATAGAGGTTACTCTTAATTGTCATTCCAGTGAGTTAGTCCTAGTACCCAGGCCTACATCCCATCCCCTCCCCAGTCCCCTCTGGGGCACAAGGAATTAAACTCAAGTCTCTTATATGGAGTGGCTTTGACTTCCAGTATCCCCTGCATCCCTTGACTCCTTTATGCCACACCCAAAACAGTGTCTCTTTATCAACCCTATAGGGCCCCTATCCTCCATCTGGTCACTACAATCCCCCATCATATAGCAAGCATCCCTTTCTGTTACTGTTGTCTCTCACAATATAAGCACAGCTTCATTACACCACAAAAACATAACTTCTCTCACATGCAGTCACGATACATCCAGAACTACAGGGCCATATAAGTACAACCAGTCTGATGTATTTGTGATGATGAACAATTGTATTGCCAATGTTTAAAAGAAAATATTAAAAATGTTTTTGTTTTATGTAGGACATTTTGTTAATACAAAAGACTGGATTTATTGTCTTTGGATCTACCATTGGTGTCATTGAAAATTGATAAAAGAGTGTCATGTCGCACTATATTCTAGACAGGGACAAAATGAGCAAACTATATTTCCTATATGTGATTGTACTCGCACACAGTAAAAGTGTGCTCATTGACTTGTTTGATTTTCTTTTAATTGCAGTCTTTATGCACATCTTCTTTCTTTTTCTTTTCTTTTTTGTTAGCAAATACCCCTATTGCACTTCAACCCAACAAATGCACTGATTTCATTTACCTATAACTCGATCAGGTCTGCCCCCTCAAGTGTCACCTCAAAACGTCCTTTTAGATGTTTAGCATTTGAATCCCATTGTCCTGACTAGATGTTCTGTTTTTTTCTATCTTTCCATGTTGTTTGTTTATGTCTCACTGCTTTAGCTTTTATTTAATTTGTATTTAATGCATTGTACAGCACTGTGGTCCGCTGCTACAGTTTTTAATGTGCTGTATTAATATATTTGACTGACTACACACCCCATTGCTACTTTTAAAAGTTTAAATAAAGAACTCTGGCTTCAAGTATAACCTTTGCAAAGCTCTCTTTTCTTCACATCCCCTCCATTAGTTCATGACAAATGGAGGTTCTTATGTGAGGATAGCCTTTAAGTAAAGTGAAATCCGGCCTTAGTGCAACAAATGGAGAACTTACTTTGGTATTTTTGACCAGTCTGGCCTAATACCATTGTAGTTTGTCAATATTTAACTGTGTACTGTTGCATGTAAGTGGTGCATGTAATTGGTGAGTGGTGATGTCTGTGGGTGTGAACCATGTGTTTCCTTTTTGGCTAAAGTGGTTGAAGTCAGCAGGAGACCAACTGCTGTTGTTAGCAGACAATGTGAGTGAACCAAATGTCCTGGGAGAATTTATATTTTTTTCTATTTCTGGTTGCCTGAAGTCAGTGCAAATACTTGAATAAATAGCCCTTTTTGTTCTTCCAGTTCAAGAGGCGGCCTTTGCGCCCCTGTAGTGCCTCGCCTGCAGTCTAAAAGTGAGGCATGATGGTGGGACCAAGACGTCCAACCCTGGGGCTGCCATTGGAGGATCACTAGAAAATAGTGGAGCTAGGAAGTTGGAACAGTGCTGTATGTGTGTGCATTGGTGAGTGTGTGTGTATGTGAATCTCTCGCTGTGTGTTTACACACATCACATGTTTATTCAGCTCCATAGTGCAGCATAAAACCACACACAGGGACACCAATTTTATGTTGTTGTAGATTCAGTGTGAAAGTACTAAGGAGTAATGAAAGCACAGCATTATTTGTACACAGGTGCTTGAGCTTGAGGGTGGCTCACCACTGAACATGTTCCAGTTTGTGTATCAGTTGTGTTTTTTTTTAGATTTGTAGGCTTAAATACACAGTGTCTACATGTATCAACCAAACATCCATGCAGTACTTTCAATTCCAATATTCTTGCTACATCCTCCATTGATTATTTGATTTGACAGTTTTGGTAAATGACTTTACTTGGACTCCTTTATTGTTATGTTACACATTGTGACACCAGTCAAGGCAAAGACTATTGAAAACAAATAAATCAAGGGCATAGGGCTGTCGTGTGTTTGGATTTAAAAATACATTTTTTACAGTTGTACAGACCACATGAACACAACAGCCAGATAGATTGAAATTAATGTTTAAAGGACCATAACTTATGATCTGTAAACCCATTTTTACCAAACATCTTCCTTGTAATACCATCAGTTTTGATATACACTTCCTATTTGATTATGAACCACTGGTTCATGTTCATCTCAATCTGACAGTCAACAAAGACACCCAAAATGTGTTTGAGGTATATAATATATATAGAAACGGTTCCCATCTGTTGATGGTCTATTCAGTAATTCTCCAACATCCATGACTTATTACTGTTCTGCCAATAGACAGTGCATAAACAATATTCAATCGCCAATGCTCTAATTAGGATCCTCTGAATTTGTTTATTGCATTCAAAATGTTAAGGTTCAAATCCTGGAAGTTGTAGCTTACCATCCATGAATGCACCAATAATGGGATTTTAAATAAACACGATGCTCTCTGCTGCATTGCCAACTGAGCATATACAATTTTAAAGATAAGGTAAAATCATAAAAGCCAAAGAAAGCAAAATCGATGTTTCTCTTCAGAACAGTTATGACCATAAAATATTAACACTTTGTAAGATGCCTTAATGCATTTAGGATACCAGAATCTTATATCAGAAGTTATAAACCTAAATATTATTGAGCAACCAATCAAAGCTCAATAAATCTAGAAGAAGTTAAGTATTAGAATGGTCTTCTAAATGTCCTATTAACATGATGTAATTAAATGAGAATGAACAAGAGAATATTTTTTTTTGTGCAAAGTGTAAAGCTCACGGACATTTAGGCCTATATTTTGTTATGTAGAGTATACCCAGCAGCCATCTACTAGATTAAATCCATGTTTAAATGTTCAATGAGAGAGGTGTTTGAGTAGGACTTTCATCTGAGGATGGGGAGGCATGTTTAATTATTGTTTTATACTTCATTTGTGCCAATGTAGCCGAAATAATACATTTTCAAATATAAATGAAGGTTAAACAAAATGATTTTAGTAACGTTCAAAAATGTGTAATATTCAGGATGTATAGTCAAATATTACAGAGATACTGGCACTATTTATGGCTATGGCTTTATTATAAAGGGAGGTGTATAATAGTCTAAATCATTTTTCCATGCCTGCTACAAACGAATCTACTGAGACACAAATGTGGGTTTGGGGTTATGTCAAATCTTTTATTGTAATTGAAGAATGCCTTCGTCTCTGTGTGTGTCCCCTCACACCACCAGTCCAACTTCTTCCCACCGATTTGGCGGCAATTTGAGAGGCGCCTCACATCAGCAACAATAGAGCAGCTGCTCATCAGCATCAATGGGCTCAGCGGACTTGTGGCTTTATGCGTTTGCGCGCCTTTTTACACTGCTCTCATAAAAAGTGAGATTCATCTCATGAAGCTCTGGGGTTTTTATTTTTGAAGTTGAGATCCTTAAACCACAACAAAGTCAAAGATCAAACAACACAAACGTCTTCAATTCATGTATATTTATTGGAAAACTTTACCAATGACAAAACATCAGGAATTTCACAAACATGTTTTTCCATATGAGATGTGAATGAATATTATAGAACAAATTTTAACACATAGTGTTTACAGACTATTCTTTTGCACAGACCAAATACTAATAATTATAGTAATTAATAAGTCCATCGTGCAAACCTTAAACAAAACAACCCTTGGGGTTTTACAAAAGTGTTGACAACAACCCATATCTTTGAAACCCCAAAGAGGATTGCATTTAAAACGTTCATAGACCTGTGCCTAAGACCTGTGCTCATTTCTTCTCTGACTTTAAAGCCACCATGAGACAAATGCTGAATTCATTCATTATATAGCAACTCCAACGATTCTTAATTATATGACTACGGTTATAGGAACATGATAATCATAGGTACACACAAAATAAATAACACACATGAGATAAATGTCCAACTAATCTACCAGGGTCTCCACATGGCCGCGCTGACAGCCTGCGGGACTGGCTGCGCGCGGCTGGGAGCCACTGCGCTGCTGCTGCGGGACTGGCTCTCCAGTCTGGTGCTGAAGCTGGATTTGAGGCTCAGGAGTCTCTGCTGGATCTGAGGGAAGGTCCTGGAGCTCTGAGCACAGCAGTTCAGGCATGTTGGGGTTACGTTCGCAGAAGTTGACTGCTGGACGAACTCGTTCACCCGCTGGCACGTGTCCTGATCCAAGCTCGTTGTGGGTAGCAGAGCGGAGATGCGCTGGAGGCAGGCTTTGTAGCCTTCTCTGTAACTCTCTGCGGAGTCTGAAGGGAGAAAGAAGTTGATTAGTGGCTTGTATTTATTGTGTAACTTTCAACCTCAAATAAGATAATTTGTGCAGTACTACATCGCAGCTCAGGAGAATGTGCTCACCTTTGACAGGAGTAGAGGGAAGGTCTCTGAGGAAACGGACGGTCATTTCCAGAATATCAGCTTTCTCCAGCTTGGAGTAGCGAGCGTTATCTTTGCCAACCAGAGGAAGAATCAGGCTTTTCATGTGACTGAGGCTGTCGTTGATGCGAGCACGCCTTCTCTTCTCCAGTAAGGGTTTAAGAGTCTAGAGGAAATAATTGGAAAATCAGTTATTCAGCCGCACTTAAAAAAGTCAAATCAGAAAACATTTTCAGAAACACAAAGCTCTCAAGTGTTTCTCTTTCTCTTACCTTTCTCAGTTCGTTGGCCTGTTTTCTCTGGGCCACGGTGGACCTGGCAGGGAGAGGCTGGGTGGCCTCGGCAGTGATGCTGGGACTCATTTCGTTTGCTGTTGTTACTGATGTGCTTTTTAGAAGACAGTCTTGCTCTTGGAGCAGCTGAGCTGAAGTGTGCCTCAGAGCTGCGGAGCCTCCTATTTATGTGTCTCCGGCGCGTCGGAGGGGAGGGAACACAAGCCATCATGCAAGGGGTCTGACGGGGGGGGGCAATGCCTCTGGGAGATGAGGGGAGCTCCCGTGGGACCATCTGGTCCTCATGGTCTCCCGCGAATACCGCTGGTATGCGGAGTTTCGTTATGATGTTTTCTTTTTAGTGCGTTTCAAATGTAAAGCTTTAACATTGACCCAAGATCTAATTACGCACAAAGCCATATAACGGTGTTTCTTTTCTCCCACTTAAAGGCAATGGCCTATCGGATAGCGTTTTTTTTCGCCATTCTCTAAAGCAAGTGTTGCTTCTATTTTTCGTCTTGCGTTGTCATTAAATTGATTATCCTTTGTTTAGCCTACTTCTGTTTATTATTCTGAATGGCGTGCATTCAAATCTCACTGCAAACGAGCAGCAAAACTTGAAATGATCATTGTAGCTGAGACAATGAAAGTATTGTTGCAATATAATACATGATTTCTTGAAAAACTTTTTTTAAAAGACCGAAATACGTATATTTATTCTATTAATCTATGCCTATATCCTTGACTTGCCTTCCCCCACAACAAAGGAAAAACAGAACCAGATGAGTGATTGTGGGGTAACAGGACTAATCTTTTCATAAAATTAATAAAACAGAAACCCAAGCGACGCCATGTAAGCATTAACATCTGCTTGTGAACCATCAGCAGCTTGTTTCCAATTTCAACAACCTGGAGCAGTGTAGGAGGAGACAAAGTGACGTCGACTACTTTCAACTCAGACACAGAGGTGCCTACATCTGCGTGTCTGTGTGACAAAACAGTCACGCGGTCAACAAGTCGGATTTCACTGCAGAGAGATCACGTTTATCGCTACTAGAACAAGTCTGTAGACGTCTTTTACAGCGAGTCATCCTTATAAAATCTCCAGCTGCAAAAACCATATTTAATGTTATAAACAGTAATACATATATATTTAAAGAAATACAATTTATTTTAACCACTTGAAAATTGATTTTATTACATCACTGCGGCTGAGTATTAAACCAAAGAGTGCAGCGAGCTGCCAGTAGGATTCACGCGTTCGGCACGCGCCACAACCCTGCAACAGATGGGAACAACCCCCCCCCCCCCCCCCCCCCACTTCCCTCTCTTCTTCCGTCTCCACCCACCCCTGCTGCACCACTCTGCTGCTGCTTCCATCAGCATCCCGATCCCTGATCTACTGTCCCTTCACCATCAGCGTGGGGGTTTTGGAGGGAAACTTGGGTGAAAGCCCACAAACACAACAACGCATTTCATACTATCTTATAAGAATCAAACAAAGTGAAAACGAGAATGCACGTCAACATACTGGAAGAATAAATAGTGCTCATATAAAATACTTTGAACTGTTATTTTGAAAATGAAGATGTAGCCAGTTGTTAAATATCTTTTAAACATTTTTTTGTTATTGATCATTTTGTGCTGAAAAATCGTCTTTCAACGCGTTACGCACAACTTTTACGCACGGACTTGTTCAGGGAAGAATTTAAGAATGAAGGATGAAACTGCGACCCGGTGGCAAGCTGCTCTGCTGTAGCTTGAAGGTTTTGAGCCTCCTTTTTTTCCAAGCATTAAAGATGCGCAGTTTGCACGCGTCCTGCCCCATGGGGCCCCAAATAACTGCCATCAGGTCCAGTCTGGGAACTGGCCCTTCGAGATAAGACAAAAAAAAAGTCCAAGACAGGCTTCGGTTGGGACCTTTTTTGTCCTAGTTTTAGCGTGGGTATCCATCTGTGCAGGGTGAGAGCACAGGGATCCTTTGTTAAAATCTGTAGAAAAGTACACTCACCAAGACAATTTTGGCAACTCTGTTGGACAGGGATATGATTAGCCTCTGAGTTTCTTCTAGTTTAACTATAGAGGCTATACAATTGACTGACTTTTATCTTTTTTGATCAGACTATAAACCGGTTGAAAATGGCAATTTGTTTTATTCTATTCATAAGAATGATGGAAAACATCGCCAACCTGTAGAGCAAAAAAGTGGGCGAAATACATCTTGTATTTCCCATACAGTATATCGGTGTTTCCTTTCTCCCACTTAAAGGCTATATTTCCCCCCAGGCAACATCTTCAATCATAAGTGTTAGGTTTATAGTTGAGAAACTGATGGATGTGTATCTGGTCGCATAAACGGCATGAGGCTGACACGAGCCACAGTTCAGACAGATGGAGCCTGCGCACGTTTATTGATGCGTGAACAAAGAAGCGGCCACGGCTCTCTGCCTTGTTGAAGGTGATCGTCTCCTCTTGCGGTTACGTGGAAGCTTCCAGACCCTCGAAGGTTTCCAGCTTTCAAATTTTGATTGCAGCTGGCTGAAAGGATGTCTGGCATCCCAAGCCGAATTCTACGCCAACATGATCCGCATCACACTGAAGCGTCTGTACTGACGCAAACATTGAAAAAAACATGTTAGGTTTGGTGGAGTTTCAGGATCCTAGTTTATAATCAATTTTCAATATTCTATTTTCTATATGTTATATGTATCATAAGATAGAACCTTTAAATGTAGAATAAACCTTTTTCATTGAGGTAGGCTATAAAAACACAATTGTTTAAATTATGTAAGTATTGTAGTATTTCAACATTAGTTCATGTTGAACTTGTGTTGGGTTTTTCTACCGCAGCTTCCAAATCACATTCTTAATAACAAAAAATTAACTCTGAGGACAATAATAACGTTTATTCTCCTTATGTCCTCCTTATGTTCTCCTTATGTATCCTTGAACGAGACTTTACATTTGGAAAACGAAATTACTCTGGTGAGATTCTTCATTTATGGCTATTTGTGGACGCGTCTAGTCAGTGAAAGAAAGTCTTATCTTAAAGGTGTATCTTTAAATTATTTTCATAAGTCGAAAGGACACTGTATTTAAACAATGTTCTTATATATTAAAATATATAACGTGAAACTTTATGCTATTACTGGCTCATTGGGACGCAATTTGACTTTGTATTTTTGTGTCGAAGCAGAATAATAAGACACGTGGAGGTTTTTGTAAAGGTTAGTTAGAAAGATTTTTTGGGGAAAAATATCGGTGATACTTAGAACAGTATTCGTCTGTCACATACCGTAGTCAAAATAGTTCTTAAGGACGTAATCATAATGACATTATGATAATAGTTTTGTCTCACTTGGTTTGATTCTTCAGAGATAAATATTGAAGAAACTGGCTCTATTACTTTGGAGGTGAGCAATTCAATATTGAGATATTCTTATTGGGGATTATTCAGTTATAACAAACATTACATGTTCATTTAAAGGTGCACAGGTTTGGCAAAATCCTCAGTTTTGTTATTTTGTAAACAATAACAGGAACTCTAGAACCTTATAACTACTTACATTCTCATAAGAAGTAATGAACTGTTCCTTTATCATTGTTACATTGGCGTGTTTCTGGCACATTAGGAAGTGATGTAGTGCTGGTGTTGTTATACATATATACACAGTATACTACACTGTATGTTCTTAAAATCCAGTTAAATGGTAAATGGACTTTTCTAGTCTTCTGATTGCTCGAAGCACTTTTACACTGCAGGTCACACCTACACATTCACACCCTGATGGTAGAGGTTGCTTTGTAGAGAGACCATCAGACTTAACTAATCCCATTCATATGCATTCATACACCATTGACAAAGCAGAGGGAGCAATTTGGAGTTAAGTGTGGCTGCAGGAGCTGGGGATCGAAACCCTTGACCTTCCGGTTGAGAGATGACGACTCTACCAACTGAGCCACAGCCGCTTGAGATGGGTGTTAATTGTTTGTGTTCGGCCCATTCTTCATCTGAAAATACTATGTTACTGATGGGCAGTAATGGAATGTGTCATGAAGACTTATACTTCCTTATTTCCCAAATCCTTAAGATAAGATGAAAGAAGATAAGAAAATCTAAGCAAAGGAAACAAAGGGTTATTCCATATACTAACACAAATGATCTCTGGTCTGTGCTTGTTTCTCATTACTGTCTGTGTTTGGAGACATACACAAAGAGATGTACAGTGTAACTGGTTCTTGAAGGAAAGAGGACTTGTGTACACAATCATCCAGACTTAGATAATCCATTCAGGCTATTCTCTTGTTGGTTTTGTGCTGAAACTATAATGCAACATTTTCCCCCCTGAGATTTTCTTTCCTGTAAAATTTCTTCTCCAGCTGCACATTAATTACAGACCCACAGACAAACTGATTTTACAGCAAATTGATAAAAAAACAAACATGTAACTGAGCACCCAGCTGAAAAAGCTCAGCCATGTTCAACCCAATTCCAAAACCATTTTGTTGCAGTTTTGCTTGAATTTGACACAAGCAACACAGACAATGAAGGGAACTCATATAATAATAATAATAATAATAATACATTTTATTTATAAAGGTGCCTTTTAAAACTCTCAAGGTCACCTTACAAAGCAGAGATAAAAACAACAAAGTAACAACGCAACGATAAAATTGACGTTAAAAACACAAAAAACACAAAAAAAAATTCCTTTCTACTTGTATGACTAGCTCCCAAACTTTAAGTCATTTCAAATTGCACAAACCTTCAGTGACTGATAGTATATGGATGCAGATTTGGCACAGGTACTCTGTCTCACCATACATATATTCACAACTATTCACCAAGGGTTAAATGTTGTTGAAAAAAATATTACTATTCAAACACTTTTAAGTTTTGACAGAAACACCATTTGTAAGCTGCACATGATTTGTTTATTGTAACTTTACACTTCATGGCTCTCTATCAGTGGAGGGAGTTTTTCTTTTTTTACTAACAGCAATGTTATAAAGTTAAAGTGAACCATAGGCACAAGATTGAAAAGGCCTTATAGGAGGATCCTGAACAGAAAAAAACTTTGTGAAGAACTTATTTCTTCTTATCCATGAACCTGACCAAAAGCAAGGGCAACAAAGTGCTCATTAAGGATTTAACATGCATTCACATACTGGCTGAGGTACAGCTGCACAGTCTAATGCTGGCTTGTACAAATGCTTTGCATGAGTGTTACCTCTAAGAACAGAGATAATTGTTTTTATTTTCACTGTTATGGTAAACGTTGGTTGTATTGTTGTGATGTGTAGTTTCCCAAGTTTTTTCTGCATTTTGGCACTGTTAAGTCTGTAAACTTAAAGCATCTTCCAGTAGAGCTCCCAGCAGGGCAGATGAACTGGTTTGCATTAGAGTGTACAGGTTTACCCAACAAAGCATACAGGGAGGGAATATTCCTAATTAGTCTATAGTGTCTGCACTTTTATGATGCTGAGATATTTTATGTTTTGATTGAGTATCCTGATATCTTCAGCTATAAACAATGAAATACACAACAAGTTACAAGTATAAATGATCTTTGTTTGCCTTGAGGTGTCTAGGGAAATCAGAAGGGTGACTTCATAGACAGAAATTGGTCATTTAAGTATGTAAATAAATTTAAAAATAGTGAAATGCTTTAGCATAATATAAAGCTATGTTTTTGCAGAGCGTTGTTTGTCACTATTTTATTCTGTAATAGCACTGATGTGTTGTCACTCATGCAAAACGAAGACCTATCAACATTTGCCTAGAAGCTTCCCACGCCTAAAACAACGCTGTTTTCAAAAAGCATCTGCCACCAGTGACCAGAATCCAAACTTTTTTTTTTCCTCAAGCACGAAGTCCATTTGACGTCACTGATTTTATCCGAGTCTGCAGCATCATCTCTATTGCCCACGTGATAAATGAGACGCTACCACAAGAGATTTCTAGAGGGTTACATTTTATTCTCTTAATGAAACACCACTAATCAAAAATCCTTCATAATGCATAAATGTTGCACTTTAATATAAATCCAAGCCTCTATCTTAAAATGAAACTTGATCTACCTGCAGGTTATTTGTTTCTTTTGATCAAACTCCATTGGTGGCTTTTGAAATAAGCAATCGGAAAAAGAACAAAGTATATATCATTGCTGAAAGAAAAAGAGCACAACATGTTTATGGTTTTATATATATAAAACGCATTAGATTAAGCCAGGGTTGCGGAGTTTTCATGCAAAAATTATAAATGTTTTTAAGTCGTCTTAACTACTGTTTTCAGCATTGTCACTGTTCTCCTTTGTGAATGAAATCCATAACAGTGCAAAGCATCGAGTCAGGCGTCGTTTTCTGAGTCAGAACAACCTTTTTGCGTAATTGTACACTGCATAAATCAGAGGCGAGATGGCTCAGACAGGATTTGAATATCGTAACCAAGCCAAAAGCCAAGCTGTACGACAGAGAACACATCTGGTGGTGCTATTTGTTTAGCTCTTGTCCTAGTTGACAAAGGTAAACTTATAGCGTCGCATGGGCGTCTCCACCAATAGCTGCTCTGACAGACTCTACGGTCATGCTCTTCAAAGAACTCCTCAAAAAGCAAGTAGACTCTAACTCTCAATGGTTGTTTATGAGACGATAAGTGGGTTATATAATAGAGAAAATGCTTTTAACTTTAAACTCAAATTATTTTTATTTCTTTATATTTTTCTAACCGATATTATAGTGGGGATTGGAGCTGCCCCGGCTGCACGAGCGCAATTGGACGGCCGATGACAGGAGGCTTGTTGGCGGCGTTTTCGAATATTGGATTTCTGATTGAGGGGGATCTATTGTGCTGCCATATCAGGGGCACGAGAACAGCACGAGCCGGCCGAACAAAGGCAGCAGATGGCTTTCCTGCTCCTCGATGAATTATGTTGAAGTTACAGAGACACAGGGACCATTAAGAGTTCTCCGGGGGGAAATTAAAAGGTGGGGGGTGGTTTATTTAAACATGAAAATACTTTTAAATCTAAATATTGTTTATTTCAGCAATGTCCATAAGAAAAAAACATAAGCTATTTCCAACGTAGTCTACACCTTATAAGGTAGTATTTCTATGTTCCAAAATATCACACATTTTATTATTTTAATTTCTAATAACGATGGAAGAGAATAAGAATAAAGGGTTTTGCCCAAACATAATCGTGACTCAAGTTGTAGGCCAATTCATTGTTGCTATTTATAAGTCAATCATGGATATGCCTTTCTGTCTGAACTTTTTTGGAACATTCTCTCTTGAAAAGGGTATATTTAAAAACATTTTGAATGGTACATTGGACTTTTAACAACAATCATATAACATAACAATGCATCTAATTGTCCTTCGATTGGTTTAATTGTCCTTATCAGAGAGACAGCGCTTGTGTTTACCTGGAAAAGTATAGGGAGTGAAAAAAACGATTTCCTTACAGAATTTGAAATCATTGTTTTAATATGTTTAAGCCTATATACATATATAATACTATATAATATGTATTTTACTTTTTTCTTGCTGTGGCATAGTCCTGCACAGTCCTGCACAGGAGAGCAGAACCAGTCAATTGGGGGCGTGGTCTAAACGAGGTGTCCGCCCACATTGAGAACGCGTCTCTGTCATTGAGCACTACACCTCGTGTTGGAAAAGGGCGCTCAATACAACTGCAGTCATCAACCAGCAACCACCTAAGAGTACTGCAGCATGGGCTTTAAAGACGGGCACAGTGGCCACAAAGTCGGATCCTGGTATGTAAATGTTTTTCCTTAAAAAAACTGTTATTTTAATACCTGCTTCAGAAAGTGCCTCATAGCTGTAGTTTATAATCTAATGGTTAAACGTGATTCCTGCAATCAGAGCTACTTATCTAAACCTAGATCAATGTTCTGTTTTTATATAATAATGTTAAACACTTTATACGTGAGATATGTCAGCATGCTATGTCTTTGCTTAGGAATATTCATATTTATTAAACAACTTTGTAATGACATTGCAATATCTGTTGTAACTGTAACACGTGACCTGTCAGTGTTTTGATTATTTCAGATTTAATGATAGGCCTACCTAGAAGTAGCCTAGTGTAAATCTATAATCTAATTTATTGTAATGGGCACAGCTCTAATGTCTCCTCCATATGATGTAGCTTTATGTTATTTGGTGAAGGTTAAAAGATATCCTTATTGTAAATGACATTTTAAGAAAAAACATGGAGAAACATCACTCCGACATACTTACCATGAATAAATAACATCAGAGTGTTGAATCGTTTAGCCTTGTCACTGCTTCAACTCTGTAGTTATAACGCTGTCATGTCAGATTAGTTGTCCTGTGTCTGTCTGTCGCTAATGAGCCTGAGTGTGAGAAAGTCTGACCGCAGAAATTCTCACTGCAGATCACGCGTGACTGGGTCGCTGTGGGAGAGTCAACACTCCAGCATGGTGAGTTCACGGGGACAGAAGACATCGAACTGAAGTCTCAAAAGATGTAAGCAAGGAAGGAATAAGATGAAGCTAAGAATAAGATATGTATCTCCTCATTTGTTATAATATTGTACTGTAATGGCAATCATTTTTTAACAATGCCCATTTTTAGGTCCAGATGTTGATGTGGGCTCCTTACTTCAGTAAAGAAACATGTGCAAACATTATTGATGATATTGTAAGTACAGTATATACAGTATACGGCCTTTAGTGGCCTCTTAATAAAAAAATATGACTGTTTATTGATGTTGTGATTTTAAAGGTTTGGGTTTCTTTTTTTTAAATGGAGGAAGGGTCTAAATCAGGTAAGAATTCAGCTACTGTAAATAATATCATTGTAAATCAAATTTAAGATAAATCAGTTACAGGAGGTTATATGCCTACAGTAAAGGCAGTGCATTTAATTATATAGGCCTAGTTTGATATATTAAAAAATATATATTTTGCATCATAGGCTGCTGGATACCTATAGACACATTTCAACACTTTGTAATAGGTTTATGTAACAGAAAAATACTAATATGTTCAAACAAGTGCAAAATTATGAACGACCATACATCCAAATCCAAAATGAAACAACTCTCTCACACATAGACAAAGGGCATTTTATTCTTAAGCATTAGGGGATTAAGCATATGAGAGACCATGGGGATGTAAGTTCATAGTTAAAGGCCTGATAAATTCTTCACTTAGTTCATGAATGGGTCCCAGGTTATATGGAATCTGTTAATAGATCCATTAAGGGTGCATCTGAATTTCTTCTCAGCTTGATGTTCTGCATCACATCTTTTATCCATTGTGTGATGGAGGGGTTACATCCTTCCATTTGAATAGAATTGAACTGACTAGCTATTAGAAAGGAAAACACAGAGACCTTCTCAAAGTAAGGACAACATTGTATCGGGCTGAGAATACGCTAAAGGTACCATAACCATCTGAAAGCTACGATGTGTAATGTAAAGACCCTTCATGAGGATTCAAATTTGATATATAAAAAAACATCATTATCATTTCAAATGTTTAAATAGGAAACGATCACATTCAGGATAGTAACATAAAATATAAAATAACATAAAATAACATACAGTACATTTATGGATATCTATCAATTCTCATGTCTCCTTTAGTGGGCGATTCACGTGATGTTTTTATTTCATATGTTAATTCTACAGATAAATGAGAGATTTTACCAATTCAAAAATCTACACGCAGGAGGACAAAGAAAGAAAGATAAAAAGACATAAAGAAAGAAAGAAAGAAAGAAAGAAAGAAAGAAAGAAAGAAAGAAAGAAAGAAAGAAAGAAAATAAATGAATTAATACAACTCAAGTTTATATCGGAGGATGGGGACGGATAAATAAAGTCACTTGCTCTCTTTGTGTGTTCTGGTCTTCTTTCAGGTGCCTAATAAAATACATTTTGTCTGGGCTCTTTTTGAATTGTTGTTTAATTTTTGCTTCTTATTTTGATATAAAACGTGTGTATGTATTTCAGTCTTTATATGATAACATATAGGCTGCTAGACATTGTAGCTGATTAATCACGGTTAATAATAAAGTTGTATTTTAGATCAGAAAGGTAAAATAAGCTGGTTTAGGTTTGTCTATAGTCACTATAGAGGCATCCTCTTAGCACGCGCCCTGGCCAGCGAAGCGAAAGTAATTAGTTAATGGCACGCGCCAACCAGTTGGACCGTTGCAGATGGGCGAGAAGCTGTTCTGGTCTGATCTTATAAATAAATGGTTTAAATTTGTCATAACCTGGTTTTAAATGTGTTTCTTTCTAAAAGAGAATGGTAAAATTAGATTTAAAAAAAGGGAATGCGTATTATGTATTTTTAAATGATTATAATTAAAGCCCACTAGTAAAATAAAACGGAACTTTTGCAAACCCATACAATTTTTAAGTGATCCTTACCAACACCCATGCAGCTCACTGAAATATTTGAAGCTTCTGGTTTAGCCATTAAATGATAAATGGATCATCTGTGTCCAATATTGCACATGGACCAGAGTGAACAGTATTAATACTTAAATATGCTTTAAATGCTTTTATTGTTCACATTTTTTTCACAACATGTCTCTGGATTCGACTGGTTTTATGTGTTTCGGGGCTTTCTAACTATGCAAACAGACAGTGTGTTTGGCTATAAACAGCTTGAACTTGAGCAGAAATTGTCCCTGTTTGAATGTTCCCGCGCATCAGCAGATGTGACCGCACAATAGAAGGGGCCGACGCCTTGAGTCTAATTTGAATAACTGTCGCACGCCTGACGCGTGCAAGAAATATCCCAGCTTTCCCAGGCTCTGTAGGAAAACCGTTGGCAGCCCCTTTCCACTTGGGTGGGGATTTAGCTTCTAATTGCTTGAAGTTGTGGGAAAATCTTTAAAGAAGCCTGGGAAAATACTCTACATCACCTACCCAACACAATCCTGTGTTGGAAATTTCATTGGAGATCCGCAGGGCTGCAGCTGCAACAAAGACATGTTCTTTATATTTCTGCACCACACTCACCAAACATCAACTAATAAATAAATGAATAACTAAAATACTTACAAAATGAAGATGGGTCTCCACTTAAACAATTCCCCTTTAAATACAAAAACATGCAATCAAAATGCCATCTGTTGTGTCTTTAAGGTCTAATGTTATATGAACAAGCTCACAATATGAATTACCTCAAAAATAATATAGGCCTATTGATTGTTGACTCAGTTGCATGCTGCAGGGAGTTTTGTCCGTTAACACAATATTACAATTTCCTATATAAATAATTATCAAACTTAATATATCTGGGATTCGAAATAATTATTATAATATATAGGCTATATTTCTTTTTGGCCTACCTGCTGGTAGACCCATGATAATTGTCGTGTAAGTTACATTATAGGCCTATGTGTTCACGTCAGGCTATAATAACAATGATGAGGTAGGCTACCCCCCTAAGTTGTCTGGGGAGTTATTATTGTCCATTTCCTTTGGGGAATTAGGCCATTAGTCAGGCCGCTCATGGGAATTCCCCCCTCTCCTTGGCGCGTGCAGTGTCTATGACAGTTGGACCAGTGCAACAGATGGTCCGGAGAAGCACGCGCCGAGCACGAGACATGCCCATATCACCATCCATCCACCTAAGCCCCCAACCCCACCCCCTCCAACATCCCACTCGTCGAAACAACCCCCCCATTTGACAGAGGCCACTGAAGGGGAAAGTCCGTCAACTTAATCTGACAGTGAAGAATCAGAGAGTGCAGCTGTAAGTTTTCTTATTATGAAGTTAACTTAAAGTAATATATTACACAATGTTAAACATATATTGAGTTATAAACAAGACATTACTCGATGTGGCTTCAATTTAAGTTGCCCTAAATTTTCAATGTATCAGCCTTCTAATCAGTTAAATTGTTTTGTAACAAGGTATTGCCTTAACCTTTTTTTAAACCACAAAATATTCGTTTTACGATATGTTTCATGTTCTAAGGTGCTGGGGTCAGCTGTAGTGATTTAAATAAATCAACGTGCTGCCAATTGATGACTTGACACCTTTGCAGGTGGAGCTACCTTGATGAATGCGGAGCTTTCCTGCCACCGTTTGGTGATTTCAAGTATTACAGTTAATCCCAATGGCAACTTCATCAAAACGTCTGCTCTTCTTGTTTAACTAAACCTTATTTCTTATAGAACTGAGTACAGATCGTGTGTGTGTGTGTGTGTGTGTGTGTGTGTGTGTGTGTGTGTGTGTGTGTGGTAATTTACACAGCATGAATTTTAAATGTAGACCTCTGATAATGGAAATACAATCTGCAGTCAAACGTCAAATAATGAGACTTGCAGGCTTTTGCTTGATACCTACCTAATCATTGATGTGTATGCTTTGACTTTCCTGTTATTTAAACCTCTATTGGTGTGTGGACATCATTTATGATTACATATCTATACAGTGCATTACTTTGTTACCACCTTCATTCAGAATTTTACTCAAAAAAAAAAACTTTGAAAAGAAGAAGTCATCATTAGGTCCATTAAATGTGTCCCATTCAGCGTAACATCATTTAGAGTCTTTATCACAATATTTTCATGGATATAAGTGTAAACACTAGCTTAATTTTGATGTTGTTTTTTGAGGTGGAACTATTTTTAAAGAGCCGATCATGTTTTGAGTCTACAGCACATCATAACATACTGGGCCCTCTATTTTTACAATGTGTCTTATGTACTACTACTACTACTACTACTACTACTACTACCATTAAGAACTGGTTAGAGCGATAAATTCTGTCTCAGGAGTAGTATGGAAGTGTAAAGTGATATTACTTCAAAAAGAATACTCAATTGTGGAAATTAAGTAACTGCAGGATAGGCTACTGAAGAATGCATTTAATGTAATTACCCATGAGTAATTTGTTCTCTCTCACTCTCTTGGCAGGATTTAAGAAATTTGCTCTCTTCTATTGCAAACACAATTTCACCCAAGGGAAGCCTTATCTTTTACAAAAAAGTCAACTCAAGATCACATCAAGGTCCTGTGAGGAAATACCAGTTTGTGTTAGTTCTGGCAACCTCAGCAGTCCATCTTATCACTGTACTGATTTTTGTTCTTTACATTAGGTGAATAGTGTTTTTAGTGTTTCTATTTTCTTTTTTCTTTTTGACAATCAAATAAATCCCAACTCTATATTATTGCTGGGGAAAACGTAACATGCTGCTTCTGTGACCTACGATTTAATAACGTATCTGAAACCTACACCCTGGCAATGGTTCCAAATATTTAAACTCATTACAAACAAATAATACAATCATGTCAGTTAGCCCTACATATAAATACATCAGCATACTACCTACTGCATCATGGCGCTGTGGAAACATTTAAGAATTGACCATGAAGTTGAATTATCATTACAATGACAAATGCAGGCTTCCAAAAGGCCACCAGATGGAGCTCTTCTGTGAGCAAAGCATAGGGAGCAAAGTGTGGATGTCCGGTGATGTTGGTTTCACTGCAGTTATATAAAATTAATGGCGCTCAGGCTGCATGCAAAACCAGACTGGGCGTGCGTTCAAAAAGTCCATATCTGAATTACAATTGGGCTATCGTGACCGACAATCATCAAGCACGTTTCATTACTTTCTCTTCAGAAGAGTTTTAAGTAACCACTTCGTACTGTCCCTTTAACTTCTGAGCCGATTTCCAGAGAGCAACAACCTGTAGCCTAAGCTCAGCGATCCTCCCCCTGCTGGATTATT